TGGCTGCCTCATCTTCCACTGGGATGGGTTGATTTAGATAGTTTATATATAAATTAACAAGATGTTTATGGTACAAAAATAATAAATACAAAAACTGTTGATTTTCCATGTGACTTCACTTGGTCATAGATTAAAGGTGAGATTTGTCAGTTGAGCTGTTACCTAATCTGTTTCCTGGCTCTGAAATAAAAGACAATTTGAAACACTTAGAATTCTGAAAGTAGTGATTCCTCCCTCTGTAAGCCTTTAAACTTAAGCTGTCCTCCCCCTTTCCTCCTAACAGGTTTCCCCTTTTTTAAAAATACTAACTACTTCTTCAAGTTAAATTTCCCCAAACAGGAAAAATAGTAACATGAAAACTGACATGATTAAGGATAGGTAAGAAGCAACAATTTTCTCATATAACTTTTTAGTGATGGTAACATAAAGATAGTAACGAGACTGGGTATGATAGCACACACCTACACACCTATAATCCTCGTACTGGGGAGGCAGAGGCAAGAGGATCGAGAGTTCAAGGCCAACCTGGGCTTCATATCGGACCCAGTCTCAAAAAACAAAACAAAAAAGATAGTAATTAACAATGGTAAATAAAATTAAAACTAACTTTAGGTGACAGACTGTTTAATAGAAAAATGCTTCCATTAAACACTATTGAGAAGGCAATAGTAGTAAATTACAAATTTGGGGGGTTGTTATATCATTTATAACAATAATTTCCTTCATTCCCAGATAAAATGCAGGTGACTGGAAGATCAACGTTCCCTAGGTAAGGTATTGAATATAAACTTCCACCTAGCCAAATATGCATTTGATTTTAAAAACTGGAAACTAATTCCTTTTGGTTATACTTTTGCCCCTAAAACTCAGTATCTGTCAAGAAAATACTATTTTTTACCCTAATTCTATGCAGCTGTGCCTAGTCAAAAGTCACAAAGTTGACCCATGCCTGTAGTTCTAGCACTAGGGAGGCTAAGGAAGGAGGATCTCGAGTTCAAGTTACCTGGGCCATATGTGGAATTGCAGGCCAGCCTGGACTACATAGTCAGACCCTTTGTAAAAAAGAGAAACGTCACAAAATAGTTCAGAAAAGAAATGTAGCAGGGCTAGTAGTGTTGCGCAAGTATTAGAGCACCTGCTTAGCAACCTCAAGGCCTTGAGTTCAAACCCCAGCACCACAAAAAAAAAAAAAAAAAAAACAGAGAAATGTAGCATGTCTGATCCTTCTTACAGCCCAGACGCTACTTGAGCCTCATGAATAAATTTTACAATTCATCTTCCATGTGACAAGCCTTGCCATAGCTTAATTGGCAATGTTTTCCTATTATTTATTTGTACATTAAAATGAAATATACCAAAATGTTAATAGTGGTATCTTTAGGTGGATAGCAGAATTACAATTTTCTTTTAGTCAAGAAATCAAGTAAGGTGTGAATCCCAGCCAGATTTTGAGTTCAGAGCCAGCCAGGGTTGCACAGTGAGTTCCAGGTGAGTCTGAGAAATATGGCAAGACCTTATATCAAAAATATTTTTTTAAAAAGAGAAATTATTAATAATAAATTAAATGGTGTTCACATAACACAAGTTATAGCATTTCTTTTTTGTAGTGAAAGTGATAGTAAAGTTTATTGGTCTATCGGTCAATAGACTGAAAGTAGGCCATCTCTAGAGAGAGAATGAGATTGACTAAATTACAGCATTTCTTAATGAGACAAAGCAAAAACATATTTGTTACTAAATATTACCACAAAATCCATAACATATATATGTGTCTATTAAGTATGAAGAATGTAACAAACACACGTAATTCACTCTCAAACATAAAACACAAATACTCATTTTGCTAATGTTGCAGATCTTCCTTCTATTCACCATACCAAAGTCAAATTTGTTGCATTCTGAGGATGCTAAAGAGTTAAGTCAGAGATACAAAATCTTGAAATAGGTAACTTAAGACTTAAAGAAACAACAGGGCTGGATGCATGGCTCAAGTAGCAGAACACCTGCCTAGCAAGCACTAGGCCCTGAGTTCAAACCCCAACCTGAAACCAAACTTTTAGTTGAGATGACTTACTTTATATATATATATATATACATATATATATATATATGACCATTTTAATACAACATCTGAAAAACTCCAAGCTTGGCAGTGACTTTGACAATATCCAGTTTTTGGCAGCTCTTGAAACTGAGTTCAAACTTTTATACCTCAAGGTAGGATTTCAGTTCAAGAAATACCTACCATAAAAAGAGATTCCTACATAAGTTCTGAAGAAGTTGTGAAAGGAAACCGGGAGCTAGTTATTCTGCCTAGTGCAATTTTATTCAATCATGCCCACAGAATCCACTGGAAGGTCAGAAGAAAGGAAACAGATAGCATAGTAGTGGGATGTTGTTCTGAGCACAGAAGGCAACGTACAACTTCATACTGGCAACAGCAAGACATACTAACAAAAGGGACAGAAGATGCACTTGAGAATGAGTGGATGAGCAAGAGGATGGCACATGAGTCGTAGGCAGGGTGCAATAGGACAGACACTTGGTGGCAAAGATGAATTTAACACAAAATACAATACATGTCCAGCAAAGCAGATGAGAAGCCCAAGATAATGACTACAGTGCAGTATTTCAAGCTGTCTAAAGGGAAGACAGCTAGACAAAGATGGGAACTGGGAAGTTACTAAAATCACCAGAGACAACATTCAAAATTTGGTCCAAGCATATTTTTCTTTTAGAAATGGAAAGATAAACAGGTATTTAGAGGTGCCAGAATTGTTTGTTTGTGGTGTTTTCATGAATAAACAGAACAAAATGAAGCAAATACACTCAAGTTTAGATGCTTGAGAAAGTCATTTGACCTAATCTAAAAAGATGATGATGAGGGAAAATAAATGGGACCTTAAGTAAAAATGATGGCAGATGAGAATTGCTTACCAACTTTCCAGTTACTAAAGAGTTTAAGAAGATACAATAAAAAGAAAATAAAGAAAAATAGCAAAATTAATATGACTTGAAAGATCTTAAGAGCTTCAAACACAAGAAATTGTGATAAGTAATAAGAATGATTAGTTAAAAGCAATTTTCCAAACTATAAGGAAACAGAGCTTTTTTAATTTAATACAATCACAGCATACATAAAGGTCAATTCATATTTTTTCTGCAATCAAGTCAATACTCTAGTTGGAGAAATCTTACTAAAAATTCAATTGTTGTCTACTAGATTTTAATAACTTTAAACATAAAGTTGGTAATGAGTTTATGTGCTCGTTATGTTAGCTACACTCCTCACTCAATGTCATTAGGATGACTAATTAAAGATCAGCAGAATAAAAGCTGACATTTTTACAAATCTACACTTTCACCACTAGGGGGAGAAAAAACACCAGCAGTATCTGTTATCAGAGCTAGCATAAGGTCCCATATACGTTGCCTAGTTTTTCCACCAGGTGTCAACCAAGACGGAGAAAATTATACTTCCCACTCCAATACACAAATTCATAATTTTAAGCATGAAGATCTAAACTTTGCGATAAAAGACTTACCCACTAATTATTCACATACTTCTACTCTATATTGTTGGGTTCAAGATAATGCGTTGTCACCTGAAGTCCAATGAAATAAAAGTTCTTTTGAAATAAAGAAAACAGCAAGACTAATGAGTTTAGTTTATTGTGACTCAAAGAGGCTCATACTATGCAAAAAAAAATCTAAAATGTTTAAACATGCGCAACCAAAAATCTTCCAAAGTACTTTTGGTCATGTATACATAGTCCCACACTTTTATTTTTATTTTATGTATTTCCCTCATTAGGTAGTTCTCCTGGTTGACAGTAATCTAAACCAGTGTATGCCATGATGCTCTGAATTCGTGTGACAAAGGCACTGCTTTTCTAACCGTTCAGAGAGAAATGTGCCTACGTTGAACAAAGTCTCTGCTGAAAATTTTAAATAAAACTTTACATAACTAAGCCCCATTTATATACCAAACCATTCTTCAAAGCCATCAGATTGTGCGTCACTAAAGCCTAACAAAGACTTTCTTATTCCGTTGTAAACAATATGTCAGCTAAACCAGCATGTCATACTGCCTCTCACAAGTGGCACGTTTTTGGGGGGTGGGGAGAGGGACTCTACTCTTTCTCCTGTGGACACTGGAGTTATAATCATGCCATGCCCTGTCAATCTAGCCGTAGGTGGTGGCCTGAAAAACTACTTTTTCTTCTTTCCTTCCTTGCAGGAAGCGGTCAAGCCTTTCCCCGGTGTCATCATGGAAACAACTTAGTTGTTTTGGTTTTGGTGCTATCTAAGAGATGAAGGACAGGGCAAAGCCTGATGGTTAACGTAGACTGCTGCTCTTCCTTGCTGGTACTGTTTCAAGGCTCCTTTGGCCTGGGCTGGGTTCAATTCCACCCGGCCTCCAAAGCACTGGGGGTTTTTGTTGGTTTTTTAAATCCCAGCCAGGAACGCTCTTGTCTATGAACAGTATTTCTTGTATGCTTCTTATATACGCTTTCTTTTGAAATCCGTGAGCTGCGGCCCAGCCACCAGCGCTTGCCCAACCGGTTCCTCCCCTTCCCCCGCGTCTTCACGCATCGCTCTTCCTCCGAGCACCCAGGCAGCGCGCCAGAGCCACGGAGCGCACGCTTCGGCCGGTCACCCCGCAGGGAACCCTTCCCAGGCTCCGGTATCCGCCCAGCCTGGTCGCCAGGCGTCCCTGGTGCCATTCTCTATTAGAGGGTGCTCGGTAAGGGCTCAGGCAGCACGTCGAGGGTTTACGGTAGCCTGCCTACCAATCGGAGCCCGCAATGAAGAGGAGTCAGGCTGAGCCTCCCGAACGCGCACTGTCTTCTTCCCCCAGCCCCACACCTACTGCAACCCGCGAGCGAGCGAGCGAGCGACGGACGTGCGTGCGAGCGCGTGCGTGCGCCTGTGTGCGCGGGCGCGGGCGGGGACGCGCTGGGAGGGCGGAGCGCAGCCGCGGCGTGCGCGTGCGCACGGGGGTTGTTTTTCACAAAGCTGCTCTTAAAGTGAGCTGGCAGCCTCCAGCCGCCCGTCTTTGTAAGGAGACCACTGAGACGAGCAGGAGCGCGCAGCAGCCTCCCTGCTGCCTTGACTTTTTAAGAAATCTCAATGAACTATTTGTAGAGAATCACTGGTCCTGCCTGCAAGAGTTTTGCACGGCAAAGACACCGATCAGTGTTAGTGAAGATCACATTTTATATGCGGTCTTGACTTTTTTTTTTGGTCTTACATTATATTTTTATAGATTTTTGTTAAAATCATGGTGCTGGGAAAGGTGAAGAGTTTGACAATAAGCTTTGACTGTCTTAATGACAGCAATGTCCCTGTGTATTCTAGTGGGGATACTGTCTCAGGAAGGGTGAATTTAGAAGTAACTGGGGAAATCAGAGTGAAATCTCTTAAAATTCATGCAAGAGGACATGCGAAAGTACGCTGGACTGAATCTAGAAACGCCGGCTCCAACACTGCCTACACACAGAATTACACTGAAGAAGTAGAATATTTCAACCATAAAGACATCCTCATTGGGCACGAGAGAGGTAAGTTGTGTGTGAGTGTGAGAGAGAGAGACTCGTTTTCTTCGGAAAAGGACATTTTTGCTTTTCTCGTTTGCTGTGATTCAAAGCGGAGCTTAGCACACAGTTGGATAAAGGTTAGCAAAGTTGGAAGGCTTGGCTTCCCCTTGACGTTCAGTGGTGCTGAGGCATCTGCAAAGTGACTGCAAACTGCACTTACTCAACTACCGCTGCCCGGCTTGCTGTGTGCCACACGCACTTGCAATCCATTTGCACCTTACTTGCAAATTCAGCTCAAATACGATTCGTTAATTTTACTAACGTGTTTTCGAATGGATCGCTAAAAGCTGCAGTCCAGTATTAGATTTTTTTTCCCCTTTTATTTTACAACCTTGAATCTAAAAATGGGCTAGGGTGTGACGAGGAGTAACATTTTAAGAAGGTTAAAAGATGTTTCATTTTAATATTCACATGCAAAAGTCTTGATCATTGTTCTTTGATCAAGGGTTGCAGTGGCTTATTTTGACATATGGTATCAACACCCCACGTGTTTTCCCCCATTCTTAACAATACCTTTAAATATGTACACCAAGCATTCTTTATTTTAAAGGACAGTATCTGTCGCTGTGTTAAGAATTAAGTCATTTTCAGAAGCCATTCGGGGTCATTTTTCTCTCCCGAGCATCATGTCTAACTTTGGAATGTGCATTCAATGAATCCCATGCCAGTCAGATGGAATTGAAAAGTATGCTGCACCTTAGGATTGGTTTTTGGTTAAAAGAGGGAGATAAAGCATTGTCAAAGGGAGAAGGGGTCCTGAGATTTCCAATCTATTGTTTAAATGGTTACATTGTGGAAATATAGGAGACTCTTAAGCTTGTTTTTCTAAGTTTCCACCCTTTGTTAGAAGCGGTTCAATCCTGTTTCGGACCAGTTCTGGGGGGTGGTGAGGAGGGGCGCTTGTTCTGCTCTCAGCAGATTGGTTACACGCGTCAGGTGGTGGCGATGACTTAATTCCTAGCCCAAGAAGAATATAATGTTAAAACTGGTTATGTAATTTGTGCTGCTTCTTTTTAATGCAGTGTTTAGTGCAAATGTCGACAGTTTTTCAGAAAGAATAGAGGAAGGCTTTGCCTTTAATAAAATGCACATCTTGGGGAAGTCCTAATTGAACTAAGGCAAGTGAGAAATGAAGGATGCTTTAATAGCATGAATGCATCAATTTTTTTTTAATATTAGGGTAAAGCCAATACTTTGGTAGGGTTTTTGTAGTTACTCAGAGGTGCTTCGCATCCTGAAATGATTTGTAGTTAACCTCTCCAAGCACTAGCGCAGACGGGAAATGTAAGTGCCTAGCGACAATGCTGTTATTTGTTGAAAAGCAGACACAGGAGTTTGTATGCTGAACCTTTTCTAGACATTGCAGCCTTTTACAAAATGGGTGCGAAGAAACAAAGGTTTTTGCTTAAGGAGTTGAGACTTGTAATGGGGAAAAGTAGAACAATGAGTTGTGGGGATAACATAATTTCGTTAGTTGCACCACGGTTTCATTAACTGCTCTGCACCCCACGAGATGCCTCCCCCCACACCCCAAATCCCCTGCAACGCGTGGACGAGCTCTTGAGCTTGGAATAGTTTCAATGACTTGAAAGTGGGAGCTCTCAAACTACCCTGGTAACTGAGGCCCCGCCCCAGGCGGCCCCCGATAGGCGGAGCTGGGTTTGTTAGCCTGTTGCTAAGGCGATGCCAGGCACTGATTGGATTGGGCACGGGCGGGTGGGGAGAGTGGGCTCGCGCTGACTGGGGCGAGGCTTGGAACCGGCGTGCGCCGGTAAAGGTCCCTCCAGGGCCGCCGCCTCCGCCCCAGCTCGGGTCCGTGACCGAACCCCTTGAGTGTTCGGGGTTCGCGTCCCATCATGTCCTGTCGCCCTTCACTCGGGCCTACTTCAGGCGCCAAAAAAACAAGTTCAGGTTTTAAGTGTGTTACTGGCTGGAGCTTCTGCCGGCCTTACAGGTGCCTAACAGCCCTGAACGCAACGCAACTTCGCCTAAAAATCTCAATGGGGGAAGGGGTCGATAGGGGTCAGGTGGCTTATGTAGTCTATGTCCCTCTTGGCTGAAACAAAGCATGCATGCCAACCTGTCCAGTTAGCAGACTGGCTACCTTGTTATGACCCGAGGGTAGGGGGCCTTGGCTGGGCGGGCGGGAGGGAGTGACTATGGCCCCCCCTTGACTTCTCTGCCACCATTCTCCCTCGCGGTGACTGGAAAGGTGTCTGGGTGGCCCGAGCCAGATCGAACCGGTCGCCGGCTGGGGCGTGGAAAGCGGAAGCGCGGCGGCGCGATTGCCCCGCCCCCCGGCCAGCAGGCTAGGCTGCGCGGGCGGGCGCGGGCGCGAGCGCCGCGCGACGTATGCCGTATGTATAGCGGGCCGCGCGGCGGCGGCGGCGGCGCGCGGGCGGGCCGGCTGGGATCTGCTCGCGCCGGTTTAGGCCGGTCCTCTCCTGCTCCAGTCTAGTTCTTGATTGACAGCCAGGCACTTGTTTACCACGGCGCGGCCGCGGCGGCTCGCCTCAATGAGACTGCTGAGCTGGCACAAAAAGGGAGCTGGAGGAAGAAAGGGAGGGGACCGCAAAGTTGGGGCGCCCAGGAGCGGCGCGCCCGCAAACGGCCCCCAGCTCGCCCGCCGCTGTCGGCGCTGGCACCCGTTCGGGCCGTTTCTCTCGGGAACAAGAAAGACAGTACTCAGAAATAAGCGAGTCACCATAATTTCTGGATGAAAGTGTTGACCTAAGTGCTTTTTCTGTCCTTGGATGTCAGGGAAGCGTCCCATTTTTTTTTTGGTGAATTTTCAGTATTTCGGTGACGGAATGTGAAATAACCTCACGTTTTCTTCTCCGGTGCCCAGCAATGAGCAAATCAGTCATTTGTGTCATTGTGTTGCCTGGTTAGGAAACTAAAAGAGCCATTTTATATTAAGCCCTCTCCACATTTTCTGCGAATATTTATTTTTCATGGCATTTAGAAAAGATAATGCGTCTGACCAAAAGAAAAGGGTTAGAATATTTTTTTACCAACTGGGAGCTAATGAGACCCACTTTTGCAGGGAGTTGCACAACAGTGTGTCCTTGCAAGTGGGCGCGTTTTAAATGCTGCCGTCTGTAGTTAAATGAAGTACACTTTGTGTGAATGCAAATGCTAACTGGTGTCAGGACGAGCTCAGCGCTGGGTTAAGGAGGAATTGTTTTTAGCTGTGAAACTGACGTTAAAAATCACTGTTCCTTATTTTTTTTTTAACGCCGACATTTTTGACAAAGTTGGTTTTGAAATCGTGACGTGCATATTCAGTAAGTCAGTATTTTCCCCAAGTTGAGAGTGGTACAAATTTTTCACATGAAGCTTTCATTTTAGTCGTTGGAGTCTTTATGATTTTTAATTAAGTAGTTGGTGACAAAAGTAAGTTTGATTTGAGACTTGAAGCTTTTGTTGCGTCTGCTGTATTTAGACACAGCTTTTTGTTTTTTACTGTTTGAGCCCTTTTTGAAAGAAACCTAAGCAGTATTAAGTGTTGCCCCATTTTGCAGATGAAGCCACTGATGAGTGGGATTTTTATTTGAGGGAGTTGGAGTTGGACCTGAGATGTGTAAGACTCCAAGGCCCGTGGCCTTACTCATCGCAGACCATCTTTACAGTTTGCCACCCTGGGTGTGTAGACATTTCATAACAAGTTTTTTGTTTTCTTTTTGTTTGTTTTAGATGATGATAATTCTGAAGAAGGCTTCAACACTATTCATTCAGGAAGGCATGAATATGCATTCAGCTTCGAGCTTCCACAGACGTAAGTATCAGAAGTAATAGACATTTTTCATAAACATCCATATGGTCAAAAGCAATCTTATTAAAATTAAATACTCCAAATTTAAATTTTTTATTTAAAAAAAAACCCTTTTCACTACAGAAAATTGCTAGAAGAAAACAATAAATTGAACATAAAAAGCTGTTTTTTAATTTAGCGTTGCAAAGCCATTGAAAGCGAGCTCAATTATTAGTATTCTCTCCCCAAATCAATGAGATTTATAACCCATTTCATTTAATTTACTTGGGAATTGGAGGATGCTAGTCATCTAGGAAGCATTTTTTATTGATTAGCATCAGAAAAGGTACTACCTAACAAGTTTCAGGTTTTAGTTTATAACAACTCCGCCTTTTCTGCTAGTACTACTCATTAACAGTAAGTTTAGAAGGTGAAAGTACAGAAGACTACCCACTCAACTCATGTTCTCTAGGTACACTTTCAGTAGCTTTTGTGCAAAGAGCTACTGGGAAAAATCACACAAGATCTTTTAACCTGGACCTAAAAAGCAGACACCCACCAGAGATAACCTTAAGTAAAGCTTGGAATCTAGTACATTCTTAGCATAATAACATTGTTGGAAGAGATTGTACAAACTTTAAAAAAAAAAAAAAAGCCTTTTAACTGATATTAAAACCTGCAGACTGGCATTTGTACTAATTGTTCTGTAGGATAAACTGAGATTACATAAGAATTTATTATGTGCCAAATTACATAAGTCTATATTTGTTTTGTTAACTCTAGACTTGAGTTGTTACATGTACATAATTCATAGTCCTATTTTTCAGACTATTGTATTTTAATAATTTGTCTGCAAACCAAAGTCATTTTACATAAACTAGAGAACCTAGCATGAAGTGTAAGCTTTAGAAGTACTGCATTTTATTTCTTTGGGCTAGATAAATTAATGTAGCAGTTTAAAATTCATAAAATCATTTGTAAAATGCCAGTGTTTGTATCAATCTAAACTGATCCCTCTACCTTATAAATAGCTAAATATTAAATACTTTTCTGATAAAATATTGAAAAACAGACTAGTTATTAGTAACATCTGAAAATCTGGCCAAGTTAAAAAGCATTTCTGATTCTTTTGATACAGATCAATAGGAGTATTTTTCTTTTTTAGCCTTGAAGAGTAGTTAGAAAGCCTAGCCAAAAGAGAATTAGAACATGTGTAGACTGAGAAATATAAGAGCAGTTTTTCAGCATTTCAGTAGATTTATGAAATGTGAAATTTTTGAAACTGACAACTTCTAGATCTTTTCTAGAGCTTAATTAGTTGCTATAAAAAGAAGTAACAACTCCTAGCTAATGAGAAGTGGAGCGTTGTAGGGAATTTGGTCTGAATGTTTGACCAATGTCTATAATTTCTCAATAGAATTAGTGAAGCCATTCTTAACTTGATTATTTGTTCATCCTCTTATTTAAGATTTTCTTTTTCCTAGTACTGGGAGTTGAACCCAGGGCCTCATGCATGCTAGTCAGGTTCTCTACCACTGAGCTATATTTGTAGTCACAACATTTTAACTTTATTTTCAAATTATATTTTGACTTTGTCAAGAATTGTTCATTAAATCTTGTAATTTTGTCACCAGCTTAAAAGTAGCTTCTTTTTAGTTTGAAATGATTGCATTCTTCTGGCTTTTTAAAGCAAAATTATCCATAGCATTTAATTGTTGCTATTATCTACTGTTATCTGGAAATAAAAGGTTTTTCCCCACTGACTTATCCCTTTGGAAATTTTTAAAAGTCATACGTTTGATACCTCATGGGTACATGAACAGTACAATATATATTAACACTTTTATTCTCACCTACTGTCTATTTTTTGAAAAGAGGTATAAGATTAATATACTCACCTTTATATTCTGCACAGACCACTTGCTACCTCATTCGAAGGCCGACATGGCAGTGTGCGCTATTGGGTGAAAGCCGAATTGCACAGGCCTTGGCTTCTACCAGTAAAATTAAAGAAGGAATTTACAGTCTTTGAGCATATAGATATCAACACTCCTTCATTACTGGTAAGAATTGACTGAACTCTTCATTCTTTGTTTTTGGATTATAAATACTAAACAATAATCACCTAAATTACACATTCTTCATAAATTTAAAGTAGTTTTATTTTTTAAATCCATAAGCTTTTTTTTTTTTTTTTTTTTTTTGTGGTGCTAGGGTTTGAAATCAAAAGCTTCATGCTTGCTATTGCTAGGGCGGGCAATCTACCACATGAGCCTTGCCTCCAGCCCTTCATAAACATATTTTTAATGCAGTAAAGAGCACAAAAGTTAATATTTTTATGTTGTACTGGCTTTAAATTTTTTAAAAAGACCAGTATGTGGTGTGAAATAGCTCTTGCTCAGAATATGATAGCAACAACAAAGATCTGTTCCCTGAATGATTGTAACGAAAGAGGAACATTATAGGACTAACACTTACTTGAAAATACAGTCTAAATACATACTGTGTTGCATTATTCCAATTAGGGATAGTTGTCAAATGATAGGGAATCATCACTTTTGTAGGGGAAAAAAACCTTAATTCCTTTTTTAAATTAATCTTTTTAAATTGTATTTTACAAGATTGATTGTGACTTCAAAAACGTTATTTGGTTTAAGCAAATGGTAACATCTTTAAAACAAGAGTTGCAACCTTAAAATGGACAGTTCCTTTTCTACATATGGATTTTTACATTCTCAAAGTTGTTAACATTTAGGATCATAAACCAAGTCATTTTCTGCACTATCTTTTCTTAAAGGTAGTTTAAATACAATTTAGAAAGGGTTTTTGTTTGTTTGTTTTTTATTGTTGATTATTGTGTATGCTTGTGTATGCAAATAGTGGACTCAGGCTGTGTTTATGGAATAGGGTGTTAAGCCCTTTGTCTTTTTTTCTTTATTACATGGAAATTTACATAATTCAGATGCCATTGGTTAGAACAAAATTTATTTAGGTACAGGAGGGAAAAAAATAACATCCTAATCTTGAATTTAAAATTTAAAATATTCTGGTATTTTACCGATTCATACATTGATCTTTCTCTCAAAATTTATTTCTTACAGTCACCCCAAGCAGGCACAAAAGAAAAGACTCTCTGTTGCTGGTTCTGTACCTCAGGCCCAATATCCTTAAGTGCCAAAATTGAAAGGAAGGGCTATACCCCAGGTATGTACAAGGTTGATCCCAAAAAAAAAAAAAAAAAAATCATTCTTTACTAAGTCTGTGTAGAAACTTAGAATATTAGTACCAAATATAAACATAATGCAGTATTCTTTGGTAAAATAACTTAAGTTGTGCTTATCCAGTTTCTTCTCACAAATTAGAATGAAGTTTTCTTTTTCATGTATTAACTATAAATGGGGAGTGTATTCTTTTTGTGGGACTTGGGTTGGAACTCAGGGCTTCACACTTACAAAGCAGGCACTCTACCACTTGAGCCACCCCTCCAGTCCATTTTGCTCTGTTATTTTGGAGATGGAGTCTTGTGAACTATTTGCCAGGGCTGATATCAAACCTTGATCCTCCCAATTTCAGCTTCCCAAGTAGCTAAAATTATAGGTGTGAGCCACCAATGCCTGGCTGATTAGGTCATTTTTATGACCAAGTTACTTGCTTATACCTAAGGAGGACTGCATTTTGTCTACATGGTTTTGAACTTTATAACATTAAACTTCAAGTCTGTATTGTATGTTGATTGTTTTGTTTTGTTTTTAATAGTAAATACAACTTTTTCCCTCTCTAGGTGAATCAATTCAGATATTTGCTGAGATTGAGAATTGCTCTTCCCGAATGGTGGTGCCAAAGGCAGCCATTTACCAAACACAGGCCTTCTATGCCAAAGGGAAAATGAAGGAAGTAAAACAGCTTGTGGCTAACTTGCGTGGGGAATCCTTATCATCTGGAAAGACAGAGACATGGAATGGCAAGTTGCTGAAAATTCCACCAGTTTCACCCTCGATTCTCGATTGTAGTATAATTCGAGTGGAGTATTCATTAATGGTATGTATAGATTTGAGGTTTTGGGCTTTGTCTTAAAGTTATGAGGGTCTAATTTTATCTTGCATCCAGGGTTTGATTTTTTTTTCTTTTATTAGCATACATTAATTGTACTATGAGTGATAATTCTGATAATTCCATAGATGGGATGTGTGCTTCAAATTTGCCCCTTTGTTATTCTGTTAGTTCCTTTCCCCACCACCCTTTCAGGATTTGATTCTTATATTCCATATATAATGGTACATACATGTGTATATGTGAATCTTTGTATAGTTTGAATTGTGATTCTTAATTTTACTGTATATATAAATGTACAGTGTTTTTCAATACTTCATGTATATAAAAAAGATTAAATGAAGACTTCATCTAATATTAAACTGGGTTATTTCTTTTTAAAAAGAAAATCATGCTTGACATTCTAAACTTAATGTCTCTTCAATGTTTAGGTATATGTGGATATTCCTGGAGCTATGGATTTATTTCTTAATTTGCCACTTGTGATTGGTACCATTCCTCTACATCCATTTGGTAGCAGAACCTCGAGTGTAAGCAGTCAGTGTAGCATGAATATGAACTGGCTTGGTTTATCCCTACCAGAAAGACCTGAAGGTAATTTGATAATACATATCTAAGCTTAATTCATTGTTATTTCTATTAAGAACTTTGTTTTACTTTTGGTATTTGATGACCCTAGACAAATATTTTTCCTTCCCTAAAGAAAATAGATGTGCCCCAATGTTAAATTTACATCATATGTCTTCTGTTTTAGTCACCAATTACTATTTTGTGCTGACATTCCTTTTTAATACCTACTATTCTGTGTATTTTGACATGCATAAGAACGTGCTGTTCGAATTGCGTGTATCTTTTTCCTTCAGCACCACCAAGCTATGCAGAAGTAGTAACAGAGGAACAAAGGCGAAATAATCTTGCCCCAGTGAGTGCATCTGATGACTTTGAGAGAGCACTTCAAGGACCACTGTTTGCATATATCCAGGAGTTTCGGTTCCTGCCTCCGCCTCTTTATTCAGAGGTGAGTGAAGTATGCTAGATCTTTTAGAAAATAGCATTGCAGACTTTTTAAAAATACAGTTACATCTTAAGCCAGATGTGGTGTTGCCCACCCATAATCCCAGCATTCAGGAGATTGGGGTAGAAGGACTGTGAGTTTGTGATTGGGCTACATGGTGAGACCCTGCCTCGAAAAAATACACATTTTTTTTTTTCTTGCAGAATTGGTGTTTGAACTCAGGGCCTACACCCTGAGTCACTCTACCAGCCCTTTTTTGTGGTGGGTTTTTTGAGATGGGTCTCACTAACTTTGCCCAGGCTGGCTTTGAACCGAGATCCTCCTGATCTCTCCCTCCTTAGTAGGTAGCTAGAATTATAAGCATGAGCCACAAGCACCAGGCTAATTCTTGCATATTTTAACATTCTTACTCATAGGGGAAAACAGCATATTTCCAAATAACTACTTAAGCAACATTCCTACACGGTTAAATATTGATGGCAGCTAAGCACAGATCTCAGTAAGCTTTGCATTCAGAAGCTTATAGACTAATAAGAACAATAAATGTTGTGAATTGCATTTGCAATGTCAGGAGTGTACCACTCATGAGAAGCAGCTTGTTGGGCCTTGGAAATCAGCAAGGCTTCTCGGAGAAGGTGACTATTAGTGCTAAGTCTTGAAGAATGATCAGTCCTTTAACAGTTCAGGCAGGAAGAACAGCATAAGTGAAAGCAAGGAGGTAGGAGACAAATCTAACAGTTCCAGGATTTTTCATAATGACTAGAACCTAGAGTAGACCTTTGAAATTGACTTTGATAACAAGATAATATTATAAATTAGCTTGTTTGCTGAGTAGTACAGCACTATTTTACAATGAAGTATTACAATATTTAATTTCCTCAAACGTGAAAAAAATCTTCAAATTGTTTTGTTGTTGTTCTGCCACTTGACCTGCACCCTCACTCCTTTTTGCTTTTAGTTACAGGATTCAGATAGGATTTGGTGGTTTTATCTGGGGTGGTCTTAGACCTCAATCCTTTAACTCCATGCCTCCCAAGTAGCTGGAATTAGGGGTGTGAGCTACCATGCTTGGCTTGTTTTTTGAGATAGGAAGATAGGGGCTAATTCTTCCCCACACACACAAACACCCCCCAAATTATGATCCTCCTAGCTCACCTTCCCACGTAACTGGGATTATATGCATATGCCACCATTTCTGACTGATCTTTTCTTAATACCATTAACTGAAAGAGTCAATTTTCCTTTAGGTGTGATTATGTGAAAATCCTCTTCGCTGATCATAGGATATTCAGAATCTGTTCTTACAGTTTCTTGATAAGTCCATTTTTCTACCTTGTTATTCCAGTTCATAAAAGTTTGTGTTAGATTGTAAAAGTTTGCCTCTTGTTATAGATTTTGTTACTACATTTTCATTCTGACATTTCTGTCTGGTTTATGAAGTCATTCATTTCTGATGTGATTTGAGGTTCCTGGCTGACCAGGGGAGCATTTTAAAAGAATGACAATCTAGATAAAATTCACTTTTTAGCTACTTTGTCAAGAAATTCTGACTCCCTTCAAAATGAACTTAAGATATTATAAAACCCTAAAATGGTTCCAAGTGTGATTTTAAGTAAAAGTTATTTAGCTGTTTTTCTTCAAAAATGTGTTTTACCTAAAGCTTCTTAGGCACTTTAGATTGCCCCACCTTTTAGTGCAAGTGGATGGGTCTTGTCCAAAATATCTTTTAGTGAAACTAAACTCAAAAATTTGCTTTTCTGTGCTCATTCTCCTCAAACCTCAAAAACAGCTGAAATACTAAATATATATGCAGGTGAGAGTACTTTGAGCCATATGGAGCTGGAAGCCTCTCAAGTGTTTAGGGTTCAACATCTAACTCCTGATATGTCCTGTATCTTCCTTCCCATCTGGGATTTTACACCCTTGAGTGTTCCCTCATAAACAGCAAGAGCATTATTTACACAACCTCATTGTTCCCAAAGCCCAGGGAGGAGATGAGTGACTTTTTTATGCAGGAACAAAAGGAGATCATTGCTTTGAATATGTTCCCCATTGTGTATTATAAATGCTCAGAAAAAGTATCCTTTAACTGAAAAAGTTTCACTAAAAACTTTTGTGAAAGTGAACTATTCAGGTATACTAATAAATACTAAAAAACGCACTGACATTTTTTTTATTAGTATCAGGCACCTTGTAGATACTACTCGCACCCATTCATCTACACACAACATTTCAGATATGAAAGGGAATAATGGGTTATAATTTGCTAACATGTTGTGTGTGCTTTCTGATTACATTTTTTTATTACACTTCCTAACTAGTACAATCAGTCATTTGCCATTCATTCTTCCTAGATCTTATCAAATAACTTACATTTTTTTTCTCATTTCTAGATTGATCCAAATCCTGAACAGTCTTCTGATGATAGACCATCCTGCCCCTCTCGTTGAAGGAACACTTGGTTGAATCAAGTTGATGTGGGTTCCGAACTGTATCTCTTCCGGCTGAGGACAGAGAAGTATCTTGGAGACACGTTTTCAGAGGAAGTGGAATTGCTTTTGCCCAGAAAAATGGCGAACACATGAAACAACCAGTGATCATGCTTTAAACGCCTACTGCAACATTCTGGGACTGCTCCAACATGCTTGAAGATCTAAGCTTTTCTCCTTTAAAACTGGCACATACTAAGAGCAGTCTTCTTAGCCTATGGTCATATGTGTCAAGACACCATGTTGTAAAGAAGGATGATTTCCTTCTTTTGATTTGAAAATTTGCACATGCTCAATGCTTACATTGTGCGGTTCGATGTCACTACAGCTTTTTTTTTTTTTTCTCCATTTATGCCAGACTCTTGATACTCTTTTAAAACTTGTTTGTGTTCAGCACAACAAGGAACAAAAGAAAGCTTTGAAAAAACTTTTACATGAAAAAAACGCACTGACATTTTTTTTTTATTTAATATAGCCTGGACTTTACCTGCGTGTGCACATGCTCAGAATTGTCCTACTAGGCTGACCATGTATCACCTCTTCAGCTTGGATCCTATTGTGGATTTATTTACAAACATCAAATGCCTTCAAGCCAATCCTTTTGCTGTATGTTTTGCAGCCTACTGTAGTAGATACGCAACAGATGTGTGGGGGGGAAAAGATAAGAGGAGGAAGCTAATAAGAGACTGTCAAGATTGTATACCTTGGTTTCTTTTGAGAATTTGTTGCCTTTCTACTATTACAGCAAAGCAGCATTTTGTTAACTGACTGCCTAAAATCACTTAATCTCAGGTGAACGCATCACTTGCCAAACTGTTGGAATGCTATTTGTGTTTTGTTGCACTGTTGAATTATTTTTTTTGTTTCTTTGGTTGGCTTTGGGAGAGGGAAATTTGGAAATGGGACATACACAAAAGTGATAACCCACCCACATCCCCTTTTTATCATTACATACCAGAAGAAACTAGCAGAGCTAAGAATGAAGTAAAGGCAGTATGGCCGGCACCAGCAAAGAGTTAAATGAGCTATTGCTCTTAAATTATTTTTATTTTAAAAGTAATGGAAGTTTTCCAGTCATTGGGGAAAGTGCATTTATTTTTATACAGAGTTACTTAATTACCTCCAAAACACATACGTTGGAAATCATTTTTGCTGATGTTCAGAATATTTTAATGAGCAGGAAGATGTATGTTAAGGTTATGATGAGTGAGCTCTTTATATATTTGCTGTGCCACTCAGGCAAGCTTCACAGAGTTTAAAAACCCAGTTGATTCCAAAAGCATGTAACTTCACAATTCCAAACATTAGTGTTTAGTGGGAATAGCTTGTGTGTGTCTGTGTGTTTTTTTTTTTTTTAAATGAAAAATATTTTCCGTTGTCTAAACAATTCACTGAACACAAAGTCACTCCAGTATACACAGGTAAAATAAAGAACAATCACATCAATAAGTGATAGTTTATTTTTTTAAGATAATTTGTGGTTAGATCATAACAAATATACCAGCATTCATAACATTTAAAACTACATTTTCCACAAAGTACTGAGTGGGCTGATTATTTTTTGAAAGGATTTCAGCTCTGGTGTTTTTAATGAAAATCAGCACCTCTGATGTTGCAACATATGTGTGAAATGGGTATCACATCTATCTTGCCGTTTAACCCCACAGTTAATAAAGTGGCTGAAAATAATAGTAACTCTGGCTTGGTGCTTGACCTGGTTAAATACTGTCTTAAAGCTTCATACAAAATAGGCTTTTCCATAAGTGGCCTTTAAGAAACATGGAAGACACTTCATGTTTGAAATAATGCTGACAGGGTGAAGAAAGCCCAGTGTAAAAATGAATCGCGTTTTAAGTGATTCGGTTAAAGGGTTTGGGCTCCCGTAGCAAATTAATACTAGATAATAAGGAAATGGGGGTGAAGTATTTTTTTATTGTTAAATCATTTTGTGAATGTCCCCCTCAAAAGAAGCTAATGGAGTATTTGGCATAAGGGCATTTGGTGGGTTTATTTTTGGTTGGAGGGGATTGTCAGAAATCCCTTTTCTCTTACGTCTGACTGACTAGGGAGCAATTACTGGTATGCATAGCATTGGAATACTTACCAGATTCTCTTACAAGTAACATTAAGCAAGAATGACCAATATTCTCATCATTGGCACTGGGTCACAAAACGTGATAAAACTTTAAAATTTATGAAACTTTATTAAATAAAGTTTTATTTTCCTTACTAAAGTATTTCTTTACTTTTTTGTTCAGAGGCATTACTTTTTTCTAGATATTGGTCAATTCCTGACATAAGATGTGAGGTTCACAGTTGTATTCCAGTATTCAAGATAGATTCCTGATTTTTCAATTAGGAATAGTAAAATCCAAAATGTTAGCAAAACAAAGTGCAATATTAAATGTTTGCTTTATAGATTATATTCTATGGCTGTTTGTAATTTCTCCTTTTTTTTTTTTATTTGGTGCTGAATATGTCCTTGTAGGCTGTTTTAAGAAAACTATGTGGGAAATTATTTCGTTTTTCCTATTGCTCTTCCTTGTGGAAAATAAAGTGGTTTTTTTTTTTTTTTTTGTATAATTGCTTGGAGATTTATTTGAATCTTGGTATTAGTAACTCACCACACATGCAAACACTGTTTAGTACTACAATTAAACTTTTCAACCACTCTGAATAAGAGCTGTTTCAAAATTTGTACTAAAGAAAATTATTAAGGACTTAAAGGAATTTTTAATAGCAATCCTGGTTTTATTTAGCACATGAAGTTATGGGCAAACTGTAAAACTCTTAAGTAGATGTATATAAATTTGAGTCTTATGTGTGAATCAGATTAAATAGCTAATTTCACTTTGAAAAAGCAGTTTTTTCCTATGATGGATCCTCATTCCAGTATTTCAAGAGGACGTGTTGAAAAATACCAATTTTTCTAAATTTCAAAGATAGCAGTAAGTTATCTTTACTATAAAACAGTTTTATAGTAGAACTTGGAATCACAGTATTTTCTTTCAGTATTTATACATGGATTATCAAATTGCATAGGGGCCTTACTATTGAATATTCCAATAATGTTTTACCAAATGTACGTACAAATTACGTTGCAAAGGAACACACTACACATTTATGACCAGTTTTACAGAGGTGCTGTCAGCCTTGTTCACAAAACTAAGCCAGAATATGCACGGGTCTTAATATAAGGAGTAAAAGTGACAGTGGAAGAATTACAGGATGAGAATGGAAAACAGCTTCCAGATTCTGTAACTAGGTGTGTTGAAGATGTGCAGGTTGAGTTTTCTTGTTAGCAAAGTGGAAAAGCAGCTATCCAGTGTTCTTTTCACCACTGAAGGTGTTATTTCATGTATCTTTTTAAGGAAAAAAATGCTTGACACCAATCATAACATTGGAAATTCACTACATTGCTTCTAAGTTGGCATTAGAAAACTTGCAGACTTTTCTCTGCCTAATAGGTCTTTTAGGATAACCACCAATGTCAAATGAATTACCATGCTCTTACATGGTATCAACTATTCTTATCAAACTACCTTTATCATAATTACTGATTGGCTGACCTTAGTATAGTTACTCAGGACTTCTAATTATAGGAGGGAGAAACTCAGACTAGTTTCAGTGAAACACTGTATTAACTAGTAATTGCAAAAATAATGTATAATAAACACATTTGGATCCAGGAATCCAGGTAATGCTCCAGAGACATACTCATCTTTCATCCTTTGAAATTACCTTTTTCGCATTGACCCTACTCACATTGGCTTTTATGTTTTTATATTATATGGGCCAGAAAAAAGGACACCAGCCTTTGTAGATAAACACTTTTTTTTTTTTTTAAAGACAGTGTCTTGCTATGTAACTCAGGCTGGCCTTGAGCTGAATCTTCTGCCTCAGCCTCCCAAGTACTGGGATTACAGGTATACACCACCATGCTCAGTTTATGAGATTGTGACTAGCTGATACCTGGGTCATGTTTCATACCACGTAGAATGGATTTCTCAATAGAAAAACTTCTGTTTGCAAAAATAGGTAAATATATTTTGCTATTTCAAGTAGTATTAAAACCAGCAAAAACAGCAACTCCCTGAAGCTCATTAGGAAAGAAGAATGAAGATACACACCAGGATACTGAAGCAAAATCTGTCCATTCAAGTGATATTTTTGAGGTGGAAATTTGTGACCTTTGAGATCATGAGCAATTACACCTTTAGAATTCTTATGTTGACAATCTGCATTTATCAAAACTCATAACTGAATGATGAAGCATTTTGTCTTTTTTTTTATTTCAAAATCAATACAAAGAGGAGGCAAATGTCTTGACTCCTATGAAAAGTCTTACTGATACAAGACGATTTATCTTGAAGAACATAATATCCAATATTTTTACCAAAAACAAAAGCATAATGAAGATATGTAATAAATAAATAAATATACAAAGTGTATGGTTTGAGTCTGAAATGTTCCCCAAAGGCTCATGTGTTGAAAACTTGTTCCCCAAACAGCAATGTTCAGAAGGGGGACTTTGGGGAAGTGATTGGATCATGAGGGCTCAGACTTCATCAGTAGATCATGAGTGGATTAGCTCATTACTGGGTTCATAATTTGATGAACTGTTGGAAAGTGATGGAAATTAGGAGGGGAGACTTAGTTGAGTGGAGGAGGTCTTTGGGGCTACATCGTGTCTCTGCCCCTTCCTCTCTCTGTTTCTAGGCTGCCACATGGTGAGCGGCTTTTTTCCATCACTCTCTTCTGCCATGATGTTTCTGCCTCACCACAACCCTAAAACCAATGGAGACAACTAGCCATGTACTGAACCATCTGAAACTGCGACCCAAAATAAATCTGTCCTCTTTCAAGTTGTTTTTCTCAGGTATTTTGTCACAGTAATAGAAACCTAACTAACACAGATGGGTAACTTCAAATCTACAATAACTCATGGTTTAAAACTCCAAAAGCATGCCTGCCTGGGAATGGACCCAGGATCACTATCTGTTGATCAGCACAAAATTAAAAATATAAGAAAATTTTAAAAGTTTTTTCAAACCAGTTTCAGAGATGCCAACTTAGACAAATGATGTCAAGACAGTATGCAAAGCAAAATGCAGGGCTGGTAGAGTGACTTAGGTGGTAAGAGTGTGTGCCTAGCAAACTTGAGGCCCTGAGTTCAAACCCCAGTACAACCAGAAAAAAAAGGAAAACACAATGCAGTAGCTTTGGAATGCGAAGTGTCTCTCAAAATGGACTCATGTATTAGGGGTTTGGTCCCCAGCTGGTTGTGCTATTTTGAGAAATTCTGGAAATTTTAGGAGGAGAGAAATAATTGGAGAAAGTAGGTCCTGGGGGATGGAGGTTCAACTCCTTGGGGGTATTTAGTCCCTGGCCACTTCCTGTCTCTTTCTATCTTCCTCCTGTCCATAATGAGGTAAGAAAGATCCTCTGCTATGTGCTCCCACTGCCATGATATTCCGCCCAAGTTCACCATGAACTGAATGAAACTGAGTCAAAAAATCTTTCCTCCTTAGGATGTTTACGTTAGGTCTTTTGGTTACAGTGAGAATAAAAGTAACTAACACAAATACTTCCTAGCATTTATATGTAGCCTAATGTGATTCAAGAAGTCAAATGTTTATAATATTTATATTAAGAGCTTCTGATATAGCATAGCTAATTCTAACTGGAAATGGATTTCTGCAACTTCTAAATTCAAGGTTTTTATAAGCTCTCCCATCAATTTTCTATTCAAAAAGAATGACCATTACTTCTGGTAGCAATAATATCTCTGGAAACATTAATTAGGTTAAAACAGTGAGTTGTAACACCACCTCATATAGTTTAGAGATTTGTTTAGTAGTTATACAAAACAGTCATATCCATGAACAGAAGAATGTGACAGATGCAGATTCAAATATATTTAGTTTTTGTGCTTGATATTGTTGTTTTAGGTTTTTTGTGTGTTTGTGTATGTGGTACTGGGATCTAAACTCAGGGCCTACACCTTCAGCCACTCCACCAGCCCTTTTTTGTTGTGAAGGGTTTTTCAAGATAGGGTCTCTCGGACTATTTGCCTGGGCTAGCTTCAAACCTTGATCCTCCTGATTTCTGCCTCCTGAGTAGCTAGGATTACAGGCATGAGCCTCCTGTAGGTTGTTTTAAACAGGCTTCTACTATGTAGCCTAGGCTGGCCTCACACTTGTGATCCTCCTGCCTCAGACTTCCTGTGCTGGAATTACAAGCATATGCCACCATGCCCAGCTACTGTCTCAATTTTTAACTTTATGCAATTATGTTTATGGACTAAGGATGTAGCTCAGTGGTACAGCATTAGGTTAGCATGTGCAACACTCCAATAAATAAATAAAATTAATAAATAAAATAAACAGTGCTTATTTAATTAAGTTATAGATCTAATGATAACACAATAATGAGAGTCAAGATTTTACTTTTACTGTTAGATAATATAAATTTTTGGCAAAAGGAAAAGCTATCTGATTCTAATTAAATATAGGAATTTCTACTTACTACGTAATTTTTTTCCAAGTGACGTAAATAATATATAAATTGTTAAACTAAGCAATCAGTTTCTAGTTTTGTTTTTTGGTTTTTTTTGGTAAGGAAATCCATATTTTCACCTTCCAGCATAAGGCACATTTTCAAAACAACTCTGAATCACAAAGTGGTATTGAAGATGTTTATATGAAGAAGAAAATAAAAGAAAACTAAAATATATCACATGCATCATGAAAACCAATAATATGCTAATAGGCTAGAACAACATACACAGGGCTGGAGATGTAGCTCAGTAGGAGAGCATTCATTTAGAGACCCTGGCTTTGATACCCAGCATTGCAAGAAAGCAAAAGACTTCTCTGACAAAAACATGTATAGAATCCAAAACAACAAAATCACACATGATTTCTTCTCTAGTTTGTTAATTCCAAAATTATAATGGCAAAAGATAAAATGTTCCCTCTCTTTTTCTAGTCTTCCTCACATTTAGAAAGCCAACTCTAGAAAATCTTTATGAGAAAACTCCCATAGAGTATGAGCTGTCTAGGGAAGCAATGGACAAATGGTACAACCTGGTGAGCTTTTATGTTGTCAGCAGATTGATTAGGAAAATCCCAGTAAGTTCTGTCATTACATTATCCCCTGTGTTAGTCTTCTATGGCTGTTGAAGCAAGTGGCATAAACCAGTTACTTAAAACAACAGAATTTTATTCTCCTACAGTTCTAGAGACTAGAACAGGGAAATCTGGAGCAGGAAATCTCCCCTACAGGCTTCACAAAATCCTTCCTTGGCCCTTCTGGTGGTGGCTTGGTGATCTCACTACTCCTTGACGTGTGTGACCTTATATTGACCAATTACTTCTTCAATGGCATTACCTCCAGGTAAGGTCGATACATTCTGAGATATTGGGGGTTAGAGTTTCAATATATCTTTTTTGTTTGTTTGTTTTATAGATCTAAGACTTGACATTTATTCTTTGATAGGTGTGGCTTATCTTACCAGTAAAGACACAATATTTTTAGTTTCTATTAACAGAACACCAAATCCCAACTGAATTAAACAATAC